CAGAAGCTTAAGGACCTTAATCTGTTCTCGCTGGCAAGGCGGAAAATCAAGGGGAATCGCAGGGAAGTCTTCAAGATCATAAACGGTCTCTCGGGACTCAAGTTTGATTAAATGTTCCAATTTATCTCTTCAAGTGGCACTAGGAGGGCATAGATTAAGGTTGCAACGTAGTCTTGTAAGGTTGGGCATTGGAGCCAATTTCCTTACAAGTCGCGCGATACCTTACTGGAATAGTCTATCTGAGGATGTGGTAAGTTGCTCGAACGTCATAGCCTTTAAGATGGCCTTAGATGACTGTTGGGCTTCTATATTCCCTGAAACAGTTTGATGGTAGTCCTGAGCGCCATTACCTAGGACGTGATACTGCACCTCACATCCTGCTTTTCAGACAAAACCTATTAACTCGCAGTGTTGGAAGCCACAAGATCAGCCAGAACCACATCCATCTGGACGCACGATTGGCTCGGGCCACCCATGGTCCCGTGCAAATTGAACCGAACTGAACATCAACGGCACCGCACCAAACATTATCCTAACTCGTTCAATCTATTTCGAAAATCAGCGGCTTACTTGTACTTGAAGCTGAAGGTGTTTCACGATTTATGTTGCGTATATTTGGCTCAGGAGCGCGTGTGCGTGTGTTGATCGAGCTGCCTGATACTGCATCCAGCTGTTTACGAAGAATTTCAGCTCTAAGGAATCGGATTATTACAAATTAAAAAGCTACCTATCAAGCCCTTGTTTGGCAAGCCTTTGGACTTTTTCCAGAGTTAATTTATCTTTTACAGAGGAACGCTGTGGAAGACAATAAGTTGATAGAAAGAGCTAACCAAAGATAAGAGCAGTTCGACTGCATTGCTGTACAAATCAACGGCTTCTTCTTTGTTCCCCTTCTCCTCGGAATCGACAGCATCTTTCATTATGTACCGGGCTCGAGCTAACGAGGCCTAAGAATTGAAAATAAATAAATATTAGGGCACCTGACACTCAGATGAGGGCCGCGAGAGAAGTTCGTCGGCTTTGTCAACGGAATTCTTTAGGTTTTCGGCTTTCTCTAAATAAGCTTTCGCTTTCTCACGGAGGTTCGGCGTCTTAGATCCAGCCGAAAATGCATTCAAGAAAGCCTGAGCGGCCTCCTGAATACAATGGTATCATTCGAGGGACAGTCTTACGGTATAAAAAAAAATTGCTCCTTCCTTTTCACCAAGCTTCTCATACTTCTCTGCTGTTTCTGCGAAATTTGTAGCATCAGTCTCCAAAGCACGCGGATCCGCCATTTAACAACGGTTATGTTTAGAATAAATTCACTAAAGTCATGCGGATCAAAATGAAGCGTTCAATCGGGTTCGTCCAGATTATGGTTCTTCGAGTCCTTAAGATCTCAAGGTCAGTCAGGTCAGTTCAGTTCAGTTCAGTTCAGTTTGCACAGGACGATGTGTGGCCCAGGCCA